ACTATGAGGGGACTCGTCACATGAAGTTTCTGCTTTTGGGACCTGTACACATTTTTCCCTTTAAACAATACTACTAAAATGATATTAACACAATTATAATTATAATAAATAAAAATTATTTTTCATATTACTATCATACTTTTAGAAGGCTAATAAGATGAAAGGTAATGAGTAGTCCCTCATAAATAAAAATTATTATAATATTATTATCATACTTTTCATAAAAAATATAATTACATTATATTTAAAATATTTAACAAATTATATATTATATAATTATATAATACATTACATATAATTAATTATAATAATATATTTTATGAATAAAATACAAATATAAAAATAATGCTTAATCAAGTGAAAATATTACTTTTATAAATTTATGTGTATTTTTTTTATTATAATACAACATAAATTTATTATTATAAAATATATTATTAAAGTATTACTTTATGTTGTATTATTACTTATTATAAAAATAATATAAATTTATTATGAATTAGCACATATATTTATGTGTAATTATTATTTACTATAAAAAATATAAATTATATTATTTATGTGTATTATTCTTTTTATTTAAATAATTAAAAATTAAAAGACTAAAAAATTAAAAAAAAATTATTGCGCCAAAGCTACAGTGTTGCATCAAATCTAGCGCAGCACTATAGCAATTATCAAATTGGCGTGATTTTTAGAGTTCAGTTGGAGGGGCCAAATCGCGTCAAACTGGGTTTTTAGAGTTCGGTTGGAGATGCTCTAAGCAAATGAAATTTCACAAATTTGCTATGTAAAAGAGCACCCGGGGTTGAACCAAAGCTTTGCCTTTACTTTTGTTGAGTTTGGAAGAGATCAAGCAAAAGCTTATTAATGGGTGTTGTCTGAGTTTATGCATCCTTATTTTGAGTATTTGACCCCACGACTTAACCAGCCCAAAATTTGATTAATATGAATATAAATGAATGAAGAAAACACTTCCACACACACTAAAGTAAACTACTACTAGCTTAAAAAAGAGCACTCCTAGGAAAGCAACAACAATAAAGAAAAAAAGAAATATTAATGGGAAGAGAATCAAGAAAAATAGTTTTAGGTTATCTGCTTGAGAAAAACCGTACTTTATTTTATTTATTTATTTTGATAAAAATGATTGACTTGTGACCCTCTTCTTATTGTCGTAAGTATTGTTGCTTAAACGGACAACAATACTGGCTCAATCAGTTTACGGCTACTAGCATGACGTGTCTATACGCTCATTGGCTATTCTGACCCATAATTTAATGATGCATCAAACATATATTAGTCTTTGGTTCAGGATAAGAGCATCAAAGTCAACTGATTCAAGAGTTAATATTCCTTCGGTGACTATTAATATCATGGATATGAACCACTAGACGCTTCAAACACCCAATATCACCATCGCCAGTTACCTTGATAAAAAATTATGAATATCATCAAATCATAATAGATACCTGATGATAATGGAAGGTGGGCGTCCCAGCGTACAGAGGAGAGAGTGAAGGAGAGCCGTCGATGACGCCAGCCAAGCCCCAATGGTTACAAGAAAATTGAAAGCCCATTTAAGAACATTCAAGAGCTTCCTTTCGTTTCAATCTTTATTGTTTATTAAAGAAAAAGAAGAAGAGGGAGGTGATGATGGTGTTTTAAAGCAAACAGATGCCTCCGCTGCTCTGCTTTTATGATCACAGTTACTCTTGTGTAAATATTGCCCCCAACTCTTTTATGACCACGTTGAATGCCCATTAATTTTCTAAAGCACAGAATAATGCTAAGGGGCTGTTTGGTTCAATTTCTAATAAAAAAAAGGATAAAGAAAAGTGCCAAAAAATATGTCATAAAAAGACATATTTCCAGTGAAAGAACACACCTGCACGGTAACTTCGCTACATAACTGACCCTTAACAAAATCAGCTCACAGTATGAGCAACCGTCCGCAAAAACAGGTCAAGTTCTATTATCGACATATGATGCTGCATAAGTCTTACCATAGGACATTGTATTAACTAAGATAGTCGAGCACAACAAAATTCAATATCATCCAGAAGTTTTAAATTTAACAGAGAATTCAAGTAAGCATCAAAAGAGATTTACCTGTAGCTTGCTACGCTTAACAGCAAAGTGTTGTAGAAGTAAAAACTCGTTTGTGGAGTACATAATGCGTAAATCACAAAGGTTTTTGCAACATCAAATAAGCACACCCAGGCTGTACACGCCACATCAACCATCTGTCCTAACTCTTCGGATTACAATTACAAATATCTCATAGAGACATTAAATAGATTCGGCAATTTAAATCCAAAGAAAGAAAACGACGAGGGAAAAAAAAAAGCTTTTATAGCTTGTGAATAAGCATAGTATCGGGCACATCTAAAAGATCTAGGGTTAGAGCCTAGACACCAGAATCAGTTTCAGGCCACTAATCTAAAAACCAAAATATTCTTGAACACCCAAAAGACATGCTGATATCGGTATAGATTATTTTTATATATCTGTATCAGCTTATCTATAGTCCACAGGTAAAAAAGAACTATATCCATATCAGGTCAGATATAGAAGAGGATATACTTCCAGATATCTTTATCCACTTGCACCTCTAGGCACATCCAGTATTCTTAATTAACCACTACATATGTAAAAATTTAGTAACACTAAGTAATGAATAGAAAAATGAATCCGGAATTCATAGAAGCCCATATATATCTAGGGATCTACCTACAGTTCACAGAACATGTATGCTCAAATGTAACTAACTTCGCCATCTTCCATGAACTAGACAATCTTAAAAGAGTTTGCAATTGCAGGATTGCATTGTTATCGAAGCATATGTGAGAATATTTTTTTTTTAAAACAGGACCTTTCGATTTGTATTCAACAAGCAGACACCACTATAAATATTTATAAGCTTCCATTTCAAAGCCTACCCTCAACTACCTCCAGCTTCATACAGCTGTTTCACTTTGCTCTCTATTTCTGAAGCTTCCTTCTTACTACTTACACCCAACACTGCCATTGATGCAGGCTACATCCTTTCATCACTGTTCCCCAAATTGGGGAAACCTCTGCACCAGAGCTTTTGAGCCAGTGGTCAACATACTTGATGACCCTTCAGCATTAAAGTTTCAAAAGGAACATCAAATTGGTCCCAGAGTTACCCGCCCCATCAATGAATATGTCATAGATGCTAAGATAAAAAGAGGTTGAACACATTAGGGCCATGTGGAGGCATGGATCCTTATAGAACGTGCACAGTGAAGGCATCTGCCGCCCATTCATATTTTCTAAGTGTGAAAGCAATGTCTGCTTCCAGAAATAAAGGGAAAGGCGGAACCTTTATTAAGCTCAGAGCCTCAGACTGACACCACTCCATGATATTTTGCACCCAAAAGGATAACAGTAGAAAACACTGAGAAAATAGCATGACAATTGCCATAGAGTTAGCAGATAATACTGACATAAGCAGAAACCACCACTTAGTGCACTGCCTGAGACAGATCACTAGTGCCCTACAAAGAGGGCCGATTATCTGCTTGACGCTAAGTTGCTAACCTCGTATGAATGCTAATGTCCATGCATCACCTATGTAAAGGACAGAGCCACTTTAGAAGTGGAAGAATATGAAAATATGTAACTGACAATAGGGGCTCACAAATATAAAAGATAGCTTCTCCAATTTTCCTAGCACAAGGGGTTTTTAGATTCTGCAAGATCTATTCAGAAGACCTGACGACGGTAAATGGAAATAAGCACTACATCAAAGGTAATTGCATGCTGGCAATCTCTCATTACCGACACCAAGGCAGTCACAGACTCACAATGCCACAAATCATATGCTAGTATCACATTACTGGCTATTTGATAATAATTAAGAAAAATAGAAAAATCACACCTCAATTGTTAAATGCAGTGAAACAACAAAGTATTGTCAATTGCTGAGAACAGAAACAGAAGTAAAGGTCCCTCTTAGTAAAATGGCCTAAATGAAATAGCAAGAATGCGCTGTGGAATTGCCAACATCCATGTCAATAAATTTAGTTCATGCAGCCAGGAAGCAATGACTTCCCTAGACTATAGAAAATAGTATATAGACGAAAAGGGGATGATGAAGTTTCTGATATTGTCTTCCTTAACATTCATAAATGGGTAAATTATACTAAACCCCCATGAACTTTCAGTGTTCTGCAGTAAACCACCATGAACTTTCACAATCGCACTAAACCCCAGTAACTTTTTGGAATTGCAGAAAACCCCCCAACAATTTTTCTGAGTTTTGTAGATAACCCCCATGAATTGGAAAGTAGAAACCCAAAAACAACATAAAAAGGCACTTTGAAAGTTGGGGGTTTAATATAATTTACCTAAAATGTTGGGGGTTTTCTGCAAAAGTTATTGGGGGTTTAGGGCTTGTTTGGATTGAGGGGAATGAGGGTGAAGGGAAGTTAGGGGAACCATTCACCTCCATTCACATTGTTTGGGAACACTTAGGAGGTGAAGTTAATTCACCCTAGTTCCCCTTGGTTCACCCCCTAATAGTATAAAAATTGTTACCCCCCAAATTGGGGTGTAACCAAGGGGAAGGGAATTCCCTTCCCTTCCCTTCACTCAGTTTCACTCACCCTTCCCTTCCCTTCACTCAGTTTCCCTTAACTTCCCTTCACCCCCTACAAATCCAAACAGGCCCTTAGTGCAATTCTAAAAGTTCATGGAGGTTTACTGCAGAACACTGAAAGTTTATGGGGGTTTAGTGTAAATTAACATTCATAAACCTATACTATATTATACAAAATTTTGCCAATTCCTTTCCTACTTTAGAACTGGCAGCTTCTGGTATTATTTGAATGTCCTTAGTTAACAAAGCAGGTAGGTAAACATTTCTGACTTCTTCCATGATTCGACAACTCTAACACAATCTGAAACATATTTATATTATTTTATTAGCAAATAGACAGCTGTGACAAATAGCTGAAGAACGACTGGATATGATTATGAACTACAAGAACCTATATCGAGAAAACTGTAGAAAATAATGAATGCTGGCACTAGGATTTAAACAGACGTTAAATAAACACGTGTCCACTAAAATTTTCAGATAACTGGACGGACATCCTTTTGCTTCATAATCAGCAAATGCTGATCCCCTGAGAAGATCTCTGTTTCTCCAAACTCATTTACAAACTATAAATAGTACACCAGTGAAGATTGCACTAATCTTCCAGGATCTTCTGTCTTTCATTTTCATTCAAAGAATTGCCAGGAATGCTTACCGTGTTGTTGATTTCTCGGCATTGCAGCAATTGCTGCTGAAGGCTTTGAACTAGCTCATGTAGCTTTTGAATGTTCTTTTCTTGAGATAGAATTATCTGCAACAACAAGAAACATATTATTCACAACGGAATTTCAAAGAAACTTCTGCTCTGGATAAAGCGAAAAAAAAAATTTATGCCAACAAATATTAACAACCTCTTATCGAGGAATAACAGAAAAAAGGTTTACAGAAAAATTTTTAAAGTAAAATATATAGCACTAATTAAATGGAAAACAAACAGCACAAGGTGAAAATATCAGCTGAAATGTATGCCTGTTGCTTAAAAATTACTGAATAATGGGATATCATTAGCCTACGGGAACTCAAAGTGTTTACATTTTCAAATAATGCTTGTGCTATAACTCTTATATTTAACCAGAACTTGCTATATGTTTAGTACTTTCACTATTAGACATTACCCAATCAGTTTTATTAGATAAAATATGTATTCTCCACTTCAGAAATGGTATTATCAATAAAGCCCTAGAGTTTACACTAAAATCACAACCGCTATTAATTAAGACGGATAAAGTCCTGTTCTTACAACTCGATCGGAGATGATCTTCTCTCGCTAGTACCAGGGAAGGGGGAAAAATAGCACAACCAGCTGTACTGGTACTACAAATTGCTATGCACCAGTGGTTAACTATAATCCGGTCCACAGACATTCTTAATCCTAACCCTCTCAATCCCTAACCTAAACCCATATATATTGCTGGCCCAAATCCTACTCCTAATATAACCTCTATTGATATCACTATTTGTATCATATTAGATGTGTAATGTTTTAAAAAGCCGTCTAGGTGCCGGATTAGGCCTAAGCAGTACCTAGGCCGGTCGCCTAGGTTTTGGGAGTGCCTAGGGAAGCGTGGACCACTTACTACGATTATGCCACTTAGGTCATGATTTCCCCCACTGCCACCTCCACTTTCTTTAACCTCCTCTAGCCTCCACTGACTATGAGTCTACGAACACCTCCTCTGACCTTTAGCAAAATCTCCACCACTTAAAAAAATGGCTAGGCCCCGCATAGGCTTCCGTCTGGGCCATAGTTAAACAGCACACAGTACATTGTTGGTCATGATACAAATTCGCATGCACAATTCGCCACTTAGCTATTTTGGATTCGAGAGGGCTACGTTATAACTTGTAAATTTTGTTGGGTGCACTTTCCATTTTTCAAAGTTAGAGAAAACTAGAAACTAGAAAGCTAATCATGCATTTTAATAATGTAATATAAAACAGTAGAATGAAACAATGCATCTCTTGATAATTTGTGATTATCTAAGTTATGCATGTTAGCATATATGTGATTAACTGAAACTTTTTGTGTGTTTTCTACTTGTGCTCAGTCAAAAATTAAGATTCTTGACATATTTTTTATGTGAACTCATAAATATGTTCCTTCATGTGTTTTTGTCTATTATGTGTGCGGTGTGTGTCGCTTCACTCGCGCACATGCATCGCATTGCGCCTTGCGCACGTACGCGTAAAGGGATTCTGCGTCCCGCATTATTGCAAGCAGTACGCAAATTTTGGGGAACCAATAAATGGAAAGTGCACCCAATAAAATATACGACGTACCATCCTTGAACCATAGTACAGTTTGCATACCGTTTATTGATTAGTTGTGAGAGCTTACATGAAGATTCAGGATTAAGGTAAGTCTACTGAACGAACAAAAGAGGTTTTGTGATGCATACATAACAATGAATTCAAGAAGTAGGAATGCATGAATATATTGAAAAACTGGCAAAGGAGTAGTTCTATTACTTCACTAACACTGATCAAATGCCAATGAAGCTATACTTAATAGCAACCACAAATTGAAAACATTTCTAGATGATAACTAGAAACAGTTATATACAATAGGCGCATTCTTCTCACAGCCAAACTTGCTTAGTTGATGATAAACAAAGAGATCCTCTAGCTCACATTAGTTGATGATTGAAGTAATTTATCCTAACCAAACATATGTAACAACAAATGCAAGAAACAACTAAAGAAATGCATGAAGATTATTAACCAAAGGGGAACTTCTTTCAGTTCGGTAACATTGATCAAATGCCAATGTAGATTTCCAATACCGAAATAGCAATAACAACTTAAAAACACCTATCCTAACTACATACTCACTTTTTCTTTGACGACCTCTTCTCTTCTCAAATTCTGCTGCTGCTTCTGAGCAATGCTCGGGTTCGGGTCCATGTCATTAACAAGCTGCTGTTTCCACTCGAATTGCGACGTAATTATGAGGATCATCAGTAAGAAAACAAGCACCATGGGTCTTGACATTATCATGATTATCACTCAAACAACCTGCCAAATCATTCCAAACTTAGCATATATCAAAATTCAGAAGCCAAAATTGAATAAACCCTGGTCTTTGATACATAGGTAAGATGCAGAAACCCTAGAATTTGTCCTCAAGACCCTACAATAGCAATATAGTAGAAAATCGCAATTCAGCATAAAATAAGACGACATTTGTCCACAAAACCCCAGAACTGCAAATATATTAAAAAAAATCGGTACGCAAATGTGCTAGTTCAAATAAATCGCAATTCGCCATAAAAATGACGATTTCCCCCTCCAAAAAATAAAGGGAATTTGGCCACAAAGTCTAGAATTTGTCCAAAAAAAACCCTAAAAGTGCAGCGATTGAAAATTCTAAGAGAACAAAGAACTCACATCTCGTAGAAATTTATTGCTACTTCACGACTTTTGGGGGAGTTTCGGATGAAAAGAGGAAATCGAGGTGGTGTTAAAATTTTGGGGAGGATTCCTTCGATTGAGACTCGCCGGCGACTGAGAATTGACTGTAGTGGATCATCAACTCTGAGGATTATTTTCTTTCACACTGGCACGCGGTATGATAATGGATCTCTCCCTACGTAGGGCCCATAGAAGCAACACATTTTTGGGCTCGGGCTTACCTGGGCCATTATGGGCTTGGGCCTTTGCTTAACACATTGTTTTGTCTAATACTGGAATACTGGTGCACGGGACACAACCTAACGATGCAGTTTTATTGTATACGAAGCCCATAGAGGTGGAGCATTTTTGTGTTGTGCATGGCCTAGTCCTATTTTTATTGGGATGTAATTGGATTTCTTTTTTCTTTTTCATTTTTTTTGTTATTGTTATTAAATAGTAATTGAAGAGAGAAATTTAGGGGTCGAATCAGAATACGAATCTTCTTACATCACGCATCCGGATGGCATGAGTCACAAAATGGTAGTTTAAGTTGGTGTTTGGGAGAGCTTATTTTATCAAGCTTATAAGCTAAATTGGCTTCTAGTGGTTTTTGGCTTTTATGATAAAGTTCATAATAATTGTACCCATAAAAATTGTTTGGGTACAATTATCATTTACTTGGGCTTATTTAGATGAGCTTGTAAGCTAGTTCTCAAACAAGTTGATTTAGCCCAACTTTTTTATATGGGTCATAAAAACTAGCTTATCTGGAATGTTACCAAACATGTAGAAAAAAAAACATAATTATAGGCTATCCTGACCAAAGAATAAGCTCCGCCAAACACCCTGTAAATCTCCAAACTGTTTTATCACCCCTCATGATAGCACATAACACCTTGTTAGTACGTTAGATGTTCTGATAAATTTTTGAGACCTCTAGAAATCGAGATCTTGAAGAGCAAGCGTACAATATCTTTGATGAAAAGTATTTTTCTAGTAAAATGGTGGGTAACTATCACTGTTTTTCATTAAATAGAGCTTAATGGAACAAGCCCAAGAAAGTACAACTTATGGGGGTTATCAACAATATGCAGAAACTTATTGAGGGTTTTCTGCAAAATATGAAAGTTATTGTGGGTTTAGTGCGATTTTGGGAGTTGTTGTGTAGAAAAAAAATTATTTATAGGCTATCCTGACCAAAGAATAAGCTCCGCCAAACACCCTATAAATCTCCAAATTGTTTTATTACCCCTCATGATAGCCCATAACTGTTGGATTATATCTAATTATGGGCATATGTGTTACATTAGTGTATAATGCTATCCTTAAGGTTAACCCGCATAAAGTGGTCAATCAATTTGGGTTAATGTGTATTTAAGTAAATCATTGGCTAATTGTGCAGATACCAAACTACAATTCTAATTTTATGATGGGCTAAATTAGAAAATTGCAAATCTATAAAAAGGGGTTATGATCCCTAATCTAAAGGTTACATTCTCTATTCTCTAATTCTCATCTAAAGAGATATTCAAGAGAAACCTTTCAGATTAGAAGATCAAACCCTAATTCAGATCCGTGCTCAAATAGTCATGGATTCAAGTATTGCTTCCGCGTTCTTGTGATTACTCTCTTTGAATTGATCATGATTAAGTTTTTAACAAGTGGTATCAGAACCACCGTGTTTAATTCTTTGAGATTTATATTTAAGATTAAGTATTTAGGGTTTTTTATCTTAATTTGGCTTTATTAAAATACGTTGCACGTTTGGATCTGTGCAAATATGATCTGTAACATGAAAATTTCAAAAAGAAATTCAATTCTGTTTGCTTTGGAACTGTAGCACGCATGAACAATAAAAAAGTTCATATTTTGGTTTGATTTTCTCTTTCAGCTGTTGAATATGGATCAAACTCTTGATCCAGATTGTGAGAAAATCATCAATTTCATGAACTAAGGATCAACTCATTGATCAAATTGTCTGCAATCAAGTTCATAATTGACAGCAAAAGAAATTTGGATTAAGCCATCGTTCACTTAACTCCTCGCCGGCGATGTTCGCCGGCGATGTTCGCTGGCGACCCCGCTGTCAAAGGAAGACAGTGGCGACAACATCAGGAAGCCCTAGGGTTTCGAAACCCTAGGGTGCGGGAGCTTAAGCGGCGGCGGCGACGGTTTACTTTCGAAACCCTAAGGGTGCAAAAAGATCGTGCGTGAAAACGTGCGGAAATTAAGGAGGCGGCAGTTACCTCATTCAGGCGAGCTTGTCGGCAAACTCTGTAGGCAAGCTCGAACCTATTTCAGGCGAGCTCGAGCTTGGTTTCAGGCGAGCTTCGTCTTGGTTGGCAAACTTCGATCCCAAATTTTCAGGCGAGCTCACGTGCTCGAATCAGGCGAGCTCGACTTCTAGTTCAGGCGAGCTTCGACTCGATTTAGGCGAGCTCGAGCTTCGATCTGTTTACAGGCGAGCTCTGTTCATTTTCAGGCGAGGTCGACTCAATTTGGGAATTTTTCAAGCGAGCGAAAGCTCGATACATGCGAGTCTTCGATTTGAAGGCGAGCTTGGTTTTCTGTTTTTCGTTGGGAACAATAAGGCTGCGGGCAAGAGTTCGTCGATAAAAAGAAGAAAAAAATGAGGGCGTGTTTGATGTTTCTTTCCCGTCGGGTAAAAGGGAGCTGCAGGTAGCTCTCTTAATCTATTAACTTATGAGCTCATTTTTTTAGTGTGGGCCTATGTCAAGTTTTGGGCTTATAATCAAATTATGGGCCTGCAATTATTTAAACATAGTTTAATTGATACTATCAATTAAACTTTAAGTTTGTGGGCCTTACTTCGTTATAGGCTCTTATTAAGGTATGGAGAATTTTAGTTAATTCAAATTAAATTGCTTAGTTTGAATTAAATTTGGTAGTTAATCAATTATTTAATTTAAATATTATAACACTAAGGTATTAAGTTTGTCTCTCATTCTAAATGATTAATTAAAATAAAAAGTTGTCAAAGTAACATTTCTTGTGTAAATTGTTCATGAGGGATGTTAGATGGTTGTATGTATGTTTTCGTAAAAATATTTAATCGGCCCAAAGGAAGCTTAATATTTATTTAGACTGCATATACATCTGCAATGATAAATGTGTGACAATTATAAGGTTTACATGTGAATAATGAATCGATCCAAATATTGTTTCATTATTTGACATGAGTTATTGTCAGTGTTTGATCATTGCAACAAGGTATCACTTAGAATTAATATTACTGTTTAAATACTTGATATTAATGTTGTACTAAATATCTTGAGATGAGATTTTTCATTATTTGAATTTTATTAATTACTAATTATGGTTAATAATGTGAGTATCTTTTGTTTTTCAACTAATGCATCTGCTACAATAATTTCTGCTAACATCAATTTAATTCTCATGCTCAATGAGACTAATTTCAAGTTTTGCAAAGAGAATATATTAATTGTTCTTGACTGCATTGATCTAGATCTTGTATTAAGAATTGAACAACCCCAACCTCTCAATGAGGATAGCACTCCTGATGTTAAGGAGTATGAGAATGGGAGCGTTCAAATCGCATGAGTCTTATGATCATTAAGCGCGGCGTTCCGGAAGCCTTCAGGGGCATATAATCCGAAGGGATTACTAAGCCTAAAGATTTCATTGCCGAAATTAAGAAACGTTTTTCGAAAAACGATGAGGTAGAAACAAGCACATTTTTAGCTCGCTTGATTTCGATGAAGTATAAAGGTAAAGGAAATATGAGGGAGTACATTATGAAAATGTCTCATATTGCTTCAAAACTTAAGGCACTTAAACTCGATATTTGTGATGAGTTACTGGTGCATCTGGTTCTGCTATCTCTTCCTGCACAAGTCAATCAATTTAAGGTCAGTTATAACTGCCAAAAAGAAAAATAGACTCTAAATAAGCTCATTTCATACTGTGTACAAGAAGAAGACAGGTTGAAGCAAGATAAGATTAAAAGTGCTCATTTAGCTTATGCCTCTAAGAATAAGGGCAAGAAAAGAAAGAATGATTATGAAGCTACTAAGGGTCCTGTTCAGAAGAAACAACATAAGAATGATCATGGTTGTTTCTTTTGCAACAAGTCTGGACATGTAAAGAAGGACTATACCAAATATCACGCCTGATGTGCTAAGAAGGGTACATTTCTTACTTTGGTCTGTTTTGATGTTAATTTAGCTTCAATATCTAGAAACACTTAGTGGTTAGACTCTGGTGCTACTACTCACATAAGCGTTTCTATGCAGGGTTGCCTGAGCTACCGAAAGCCAAGTGATGTTGAAAGACACATCTTTATGGGTGACGAACAATTGGTAGACGTGTGATGCGGCATAAACATGTACCAAAAATTGCAAGTGCACAATTTATCAAGTTATAGTATAAAAGATATCGATCCCACGAAGAAGGTGATTTTAAGAGATTATTAAACTTGGTTCTTATATTTTGTGCGTGACAATTAGGAATAAAGAATAATTGTGATTGTATGAGTGGTTATTTTGATTTATATGCAAGAGGTAATAAATTGAATTTTAGAGGAGAGAATGAAGAATTAAAGAATAAATAAAATCACAAGGCAAGAAATATGAATTAATAAAATCAAGAAATAAAACTAAGAATGAAACTACCGATTAGTTCTCTAGTTGATTATCCTAAACATGAACATTTTAAGTACAAGAGAATAATTCATACAATATAAAAGAAATTAGACTAGTTTCATACAATTCTAAGATTCCTACAAGAATTAAATTCACATCTTAAGAAATAAAAACAAGAAAAAGAAGACTAATTACAAAATTAAAAAGAAAAGAAAAATCTAAACTATGAACAAGAAATAAATCTAATTACAAAGAAAATAAAAATCTAAACTACAAAATAAATTGCAGAAATTAAATGCAAGAAAAATAAATCTACTCTACAAATTAAAGTGCAAAAAGAAAATAAAAAAGACAAGAAAGTAAATCTATACTACAAGCATGAATTTAAATCTAACTAATAAGCAATAATAAAGAAATTACTAAAAAGAAATAAAAGAGAAAAGAAATGCAAACCTTCAAATTGCTCTTCATCTCCATCCTCATCATTCAACAAAGAGGAGAAAGAACAAATTTAAAGAGGAAAAAATTATTTTTATTAATTGCAACTAAAGTTACAATTTTTGGAAGGCCTTCTCAATTAAGAGTAGCCCTCCTCTCCAAAAGGAGTTATAAAAATTTTCACACCTCTAACCCCTTACTCTCTACCCCTATTTATAGTAAACATCAGTGAATGAGAGCCATTGGATTCAAATCTTATCCAAAACCAACAAAAATCAGCCATTGGATTGTAACTGCCTGGACGTCCGTATCGATACCCGCATCGATAGGGGTATCGATGCGGGCATCGATACAGGCATCGATGCGGGCATCGATGCCCCCATCGATGCAGGCATCGATGCCTGCTCTTCTCCTGTTGCTGTCCGTAGAACTCTTTGCTTTTGGGCTTGTGTCTTGGGCTTTGGCTTGGACTTTTGGGCTTGGCATTTTCTCTTGATTTTCCATTGGGCTTTGAATTATTTGAAAGAATTCCTTTGGCTTCATGGGCTTCATTTCTTCATTAAATCAAGGGGTTTTTGTTGAGATATTGGAATTTGAGATTTATTCATCATTAACCTGCAATTAACAGATTAAAGCAATTATTAGTGGTATATTTATTCATATAAAATAGATAATGAGGGTATAAAATTGTAATAAAATATGATTATCAACGTGGAAGCAATTGGGCACTTTAGGTTGCTATTAGGAACTAGTTCATATTTAGACTTAAAAGATACTTTTGTAGTACCGTCTTTTAGATGAAATTTGATTTTTGTTTTTATATTGGACAAATCAGGTTATTCTTGTTTATTTGAAAATAATCAATTCAATTTATCTTTTAATTCAAATGTTGTGGGAACTGGTTACTTTAGTACTTATGACAACCTATATTTGCTTAATACAATTGCCTCTTATAATGAATCATTGCATGTGGAATCACGTGGTACTAAGCATAAATTAAATAAAGAAAATTCGGTGACATTATGGCATAAGCGCTTGGGTCATATCTCAAAAGGTAGAGTTGAGCGTCTTGTGTCTGATGGCATTTTGGTTTCCCTTAATTTTTTAGATTTTGATGTATGTGTTGAATGTATCAAGGGAAAACAGACCAAAGTTAAGAGATTAGGTTCCAACAGATCTTCGGATGTCTTAGAATTGATACATACGGATATTTGTGGGCCATTCCTTACGGCATCTTGGAATGGTCAATAATATTTTATATCATTCATAGACGATTACTCACGTTATGAGTACCTATATCTCATTCATGAGAAATTTGAGTCTCTGGACATGTTCAAAGCTTTTAAAGCTGAAGTTGAGAATCAACTCAACAAAAGAATTAAAACTATCAGATCTGTCGTGGTGGTGAGTACTATGGAAGATATGATGGTTCAGGTGAACAACGTTTAGGACCATTTGCTAGATACCTAGAAGAATGCGGTATTATCCCACAGTACACCATGTCGGGGGTCATCTAGCATGAATGGTGTAGCTGAAAGACGAAATAGGACTCTTAAGGATATGGTAAGAAGTATGATTAATCATTCTTCTTTACCAGAATCACTCGGGGGGAGAAGCACTAAAGACAACAACTTACATTTTAAACAGGGTATCAAGTAAAGCAGTTGCTAAAACACCTTATAAGCTTTGGACTGGTCGAAAGCCCAGTTTAAAGCACTTACATATTTAGGGATGTCCAGCTGAGGCAAGACCTTATAGGCCAAATGAAAAGAAAATGGACTCTAAAACAGTTAACAGTTATTTTATTGGGTATTCTGAACGTTCTAGGGGCTATAAGTTCTATGATCCCACACTCAAGAATATTTTTGAGATGAGAACAATAATATTCTTTAAGGATGTTAAGTTTAGGGGGAGAAATAATGTTAAAAACATTGCTTTTGAGGAGGAATTGGTTTCAGACCCAATCCATACAGTCACTTTTGATAATATCCAGGTTCCTATACCTGTTATTAATCAAGAAGTAAATCCGGAGCCTCAAGATGACAATGTTGATCAACTCCCTGTTCTAGAAAAATAAACTCAACAAGCTCAATAACCAGTGCCATTAAGGAGATCCATGAGAGAAAGAAAAAATGTTATCCCGGATGATTATATTGTATTTCTCCAAGAACATGAGGAAAATAATGGAATGTTGGAAGATGATCCAATCAACTTCCTTCAAGCCATGAAAAGTTCTAACTCTTAAAAGTGTATTAATGCCATGAATGAAGAGTACAAGTCTATGCAAGACAATAAGTTTTGGGAACTTGTCCCATTGCTAGAAGGTACAAAACCAATTGGTTGTAAATGGATATTTAAAACCAAGCGGGATGCAAATGGTAATGTGGAGAGGTATAAGGCACGTCTTGTAGCTAAAGGCTATACTCAAAATGAAGACATTGATTATACATAGACTTTCTCTCTAGTTTTATCAAAAGACTCTTTCAGAACAATCATGATGCTTGTTGCTCACCTTGATCTTAAGTTACATCAGATGGATGTTAAGACTGTGTTTCTCAATGGAGACATTGATGAAATGATCTATATGGTGCAACCAGAAAACTTTGTGTTAGGTGACCCAAAGAATATGGTTTGTAAATTAAGGAAATCTATCTATGGACTCAAGCAAGCTCCTCGTTAATGGTATTATAAGTTTCAACAAATAATTATCTCATTTGGTTTTGAGATGAATATTGTTGATGACTGTGTATATCACAAGTTCGGTGGGAGTAAGTATATTTTTCTGGTTCTATATGTCGATGACATATTGCTTGCCACTATGATATAGGCATGTTGCATGAAACCAAGAGATTTCTATCAAAGAATTTTAAAATAAAAGATCTTGGGGACGCCTCTTTTATATTAGGAATCTAGATACATCGAGATCGTTATCGAGATATACTTGCATTATCACAAAAGATCTATATCGATAAAGTTCTCAAAAAGTTTGGCATGCAAGATTGCAGACCAGGTGACACCCCTGTTGCTAAAGGAGACAAGTTTAGTCTCAATCAGTGTCCTAAAGGTAACCTTAAAATTTAATAAATCCAGAAGATTCCTTATGCTTCAGCTGTAGGAAGTCTAATGTATGCTCAGGTGTGTACGTGTCCGGATATTATGTACATTGTTAGGATGTTAGGCAGATATTTAAACAACCCTGGTATGGATCATTGGATATTAGTCAAAAGGGTTATGAGGTATCTTCAGAAAACAAAAGATTATATGCTCACATACAGAAAATCAGAACAGCTGGAGGTCATTGGGTACTCTGATTCTGATATTGATGGATGCCAAGATAGCAGTAAGTCTACATCAGACTATATTTATATACTAGCAGGAGGAGCTATATCATGGAAAAGTGTCAAACAGACACTCGTAGCTTCCTCCACTATGACAGCAGAATTTGTAGCTTGTTATGAAGCATCCAATCATGGAATATGGTTATGAAATTTTGTCACTAGACTGTACATTCTGGAAAAGGTTGAAAGACCAGTAAAGTTATTTATTGACAATAAATCAATAGTGATGTATTCCAATAATAACAGGAGCTCGACTAAGTCAAAACATATTGACATTAAATTCCTAGTTGTGAAAAAAAGGGTACAGAGTGGACAAATATCTATAGAATACATTGGGATAAACTCCATGATAGCTGATCCTCTTACAAAAGGATTGCCACCTAAAGTCTTTCATGAGCACGCTGCTTATATGGATGTGATATTATTTGAGGATATCATGATTTAGTGGGAGTTTGTAATTTTTTTTGTGCTTTATAATTGATTGTATTGTCTGATCAGAATAAAGTATTCAGTTAAGACACTCTATTTCATTATGTTTGGTTTTGATCCCACTAAAGTTTAAAGTAGGACCAGTTGAAAATAGACATGTACTGATCACATTGCATGTAATTTTCATACTGCACATCCATGATTGATCTATGTCATTTGATTGTATTGGTATATGTGACCATTGATGGGTTTAGTTACGATAAATGTGATGAAGACCGCTTTGATCCTATATTGATATTGTCAATGGACGAGATTGTTCAGAAATACCCTTATTTGTGATAGCAATTTCTATCAAGCACCGCTTCCTAAAATATCGAGAAATCGGAACATGAACAAGCCCGTGACATATTAGATTAAGGAGAATAAATAAAAATATTTCTCCTCAACCTAATACGCTAAGCGTCAAGAAATAAATATAATGCGAAGTCACAGGTCCCCGATCACAGTTAACAAGAATATAATAGATAAACTCGGAATAAAATGATCCATATCACAAGTGAATATCATCCAAGACATAATATTCGGGTCAACATGCCCTTATTACAAAACTATCCAACTAAATACTGGAGAGAGATAAAAATACACTGATCAAAAGGAAATGAAAGCGCTACAAAATAAACTGAAAGGAATAACTAAGTTTCGGTTTCTTCTTCTGTTTCATCCGCTAGGCACTCCTGCTGAGAAGACTCTGACCCTGGCTTGTCTCCAAACTGGACCTATCCTTCCTCTAAGTCTGACGTACACAATAGAAAACATGTGTACGTCAGCGTGAATGACACACGGAAAGATCCCACAAAATAATAGAACGAACGAAAACCCAAGAGGAAAATGATACGATAATAGAAAGGACAAAAGAACGTGCAACTGAAAATCCAACAAAATCAACATGCGAAAAAACTACTAAAACATGATAACCACAATGCTAACTGCACACTATAACCAGGTCGAGTACTAGCCATCCTAAACTCACTGGTCCACATCTCAAATAAAGTCAACATTCATAACACCGAATAACTGACTATTTACAAATCCTCTACGCGCATCTAATACCGCTACACGAATCGGTCAGAGGACTACACGCAGTCTGATCTCAGCCTGGTCCGAACTCAGGCAAAACTCAGGTGACGAAACACGTCACGGACTAAGGTGACTACACGAATTCACTTTAGCTCAACAAACCAACCCCAATGACTACACGAATTCACTGGCGTGAGCCTGGAAGGTACATCAACAATCACATCTGATCACATGAACAAAGACTTTCCCATTCCAACTCTTCTCGTTTTTTCTAAGTCAATAATCAAAGTCCACAATATCTCTGGTTCACCACCTAAATTCAGTCAACACACCTACACATGTCACTAGGTCTGTTCATGATGCACGAGGTCACTAAGTCATGAAGTACTAAGGGTTCTCAACACAACCAGGAACAATAAATATGTCTAAATGATTCTATGCAATAACATGATGACATGTCAAATCCATTAAATTAAATCTCAAAACATGAAATATAATCATGAATAGTAAAATTACACATGCAATCCGATTCTATCAATATCTTGTTATCCGAATCTCAAAACTACTCATAAAAAATTATCAGCATCTAAATAACATCAAATATAACTATGGTTAAAAAGAAAACTGAAAGCCGTGATTGTTTTGCACATAAAATGTCACAGTCTACAACTACAACACAAAATCATAATTTAATTTAAATCCAAAATAAATAATTCTTTTTGAAAAATAAATATAATTATTAAAAATATAATTTTTTGTCGAAAATAACTTAACAACTCAAAATGACCCCTTTTTCGAAATAAATAATTTTAAATTATCTATTTTAATAACTATTCAAAACTAACCCATTTTATAAATAAATCCTTTTCTCATCATAATAATTCTAAAAACATCTCAACATAATCACTTTTACACAAAATAATTTTCCTTTAAATTACTTATCATAACATCATTGTTAAATATTAACCATCAACAAGCCACGCAGATAATAACAATTCATAATCTAACTATGCAACTAATTAATGACAGATATAAATATGAAATGACGAGTGAAGAGGAGCGGGATCTTGCCTTGAGGTTTGTGGGCATGAACGAAGCAGCGGGGGAGGCAGGGTTTGGTGATGGGGGTGGTCGGCGTTGATCTAAGGGGAGGAGAAGCTGTTGGATGTCGTCGGAGCTGAGCTGAGAAGTCGGGTGGAGCCGCGAAGAGGAGATGGCGGATCTGAGGCGGGCGGCGCGGTCGTGTTGGTCTCTTTGTTTTGATGATGTTTAATAAATAATTTACCACTAATGTTATTTGTCTAGTATTTGTGTTTATCTATTTATTATAGACAAACAACATGTTGAATGTTGGATGGAATTGTTCCATAATGATCATATCAAATGGAGGTTGGCGGAAATAGGGGTTGAAGCCTTGTATTTTAAGTTAAAGATCTAAGTTCAAGCTTTATCCGCAAGTTTACCAAGAAGAGCTTATTAAAGATCAAGATCTGGCTTGGGTAATCTAGTTTAAGAGTTTATATTATGTGTGTTAAGTACTTTAAGCTCAATTATATATACACATATTTTATTGGTTTCTTTGTACATATATATATATATATTATATATATATATATATTATATATAGTATATACTTATATATATATATATATATATATTATATATATATATATTATATATATATATATATATATATATATATATATTGATATATATTATATATGATTATATATTATATACTATATATATATATATATATATATATATATATATATAATATATATTTATATTATATATATATATATTATTATATAGTATCATATGTATTATAATAGTAATATAGTCTATATGATAATATATATGATATATATATTATATATATGTATATATATTATATATTGTATATATATATATATATGTATTATATATATATATATGTGTATATATATATATATGTTATGTATATAATTGAATATATGTATATATGATATACTATATATATATATATATATATATATATATATATATTTGTATATATATAGGAGCATTAATGGGTATCCTTGTCATAGTGAGGATTTCCTCTATGACGCTTCTAAATCACATATGATGAGAGACATTGGATGATCCGTTCTCGTCTGAACTTTGATCTACATATTCAAACCCACACACCCAAGTTTGGTGTGAACCGGCGTCGGTTTGACCCTTCATCCACTCGCTTCATCAATTTTAACGGTTTTGATATGATAGAACTTTTCACATGGCCTCGGATGGAGCGTCTCAACAACGACTTGGATTCACCCCAAACTTGGTGTGTGGGGGGTTTAGATATTGATAGATCAAGTTCAACGGAGCGGATCTCCACAATCATCGCCCTCAAGCATGTGATTAGAGGGGCCGTCATAGGTAGGCAATTCCCCTCTATGGACAAGGATCCCATTAATCCTATATATATATAATATATTATATATATATATACTATATATATATATATATATATATATATATATATATATATATGAGAAAACTGTAGGAGAGCTGGCAGCGTTTTGTTGCGTGCGCTGCAGGGGCTTTTTTACAAAAGTTCCAGCGATTAATGCTCTCCTATATCTCTGTCCGTGACTCTGTTGGAACCCTCACCCACCCCAGATCCTCTCTTCTCTCCTTCAGCTCTTTTCACTCCGACGACTCCCCTCCTCCCTCTCTTAACGCCGACAATGACGCCGACGCCGACATCCCGTCAAATACCCTCCCTCCTCCCTCTCTTGACGCCGCCGCCGACCCTCCTCCCTCTCTCGACGCCGACGCCGACGTCGACGCCTCCTCTCGAAGACCCTCATCCTCCCTCTCTCGACGCCGACGCCGACGCCCCGTCGAAGACGCTTCCTCCTCTCTCTCTCGACGCCGACGCAGGTAAAAACCTTAAGCATCTCTCTGGATCTCTCCCTCGATCCCTTTGATTGGGTTGTGCTGCCGACGCAGGTAAAAACCTTAAGCATCTCTCTGGATCTCTCCCTCGATCCCTTTGATTGGGTTGTGCTAAAATTGGAGATGGGTGAATTTTTTTGGTGATGATTTTTTGGAGATGGATGATATTTGGTGATAATTATCTGATAGTCAGGAGCAAAACTTTGGCGTTAATTATTAAGTCAAAAGTGCGAAAATAACCGACGTGCTTTTAGGGTCTACTAATTCGCAATGAAATTTAAACTTTCAGGAGGGAACTTCTAGATTTCCATTGTCTTTTGATATATGAAGTAGATTGAGAGTATCTAATTCAGTTAAATAAAAGGTTAAATTTTAATAAACCTTGATTGCCCAATTTCATATGAAGTTGATTGGCGAATCTCTGTGAGTCTGTTATCCAATTATAACCAATCTAGGTGATGTTTGAGCTCCCCCTTATTTTTGATTTTTTTTCCGTAAAGCCCACAATGGGCAGTAAGATTGGCGATCTTTGACATCCTGTCCTGATTTGGAACATACTAATCTTTTAATTTAAAGTGCAAAAACAGCAGTAAACTAGTAATCCCCATGAAAATATTTTGTGAAGATGATGTGAAGATTGCAGAGTAATGTGCTCTAAGTGAGAAGCAAATGGTTGCTAGTTTTGTACATGTCATTCTATTTGGTGTCTGGAATGTAAGAGTTTTGGTGGGAAATGTGTAAAGGTGTCAAACCGCCATCCTAATGAAAATTCAGAGGTTGGAACTTCTATTTAACTCTCTCTCATGTGCATGTCCAGAGCCGGGGAAAGATTACTGTGAGGTTTGTCATCTTTCTCAAATTACGCAACTGTGAATGGCACATGGGGATATTCATGAGAAAATTCTCACATTTGCATAACAGACTATATTAAAGTGTCAATTATAAAAACTTTAGGGTATATTAGTGCTGTTGAAAGCAAGTGGGGGTATATAAGTGCTAACAAGAGAAAACTGTAAGGTATTAAGTGCTAATTAGCCTAAAGGAAAATATTTGTATCAATTAAATTTTTTTCTGTTTCGTTCTTGATTTTTAGTCAGCATTTAGCCCCAAGATACATGTTTCAAATATACAGCATATTTCTCTTGAAGAAAACATATAATTCTATTAAGAGAAGAAATAGAGTGCCCCTCCAAGCTGCAATTTGTGGCTATCCCACTACTTGCTGCTGTTAAGTGCAGTAAATTGTCAGAAGTGAATCTTGGTGATTATAAACTATTGTGATCTTCCCAAAACAATTACTTCCTGACATTTATTTGGAAAAGTTTCAGTTGATATTCTTATGTTGTTTCTGTCAATTTAGGATATCGGTATCATCAGAGAGAGACTAGAAGGGCTTCAAGATGGATTTGAGGCCAAAGCAATTGTAGTAGTGACAGAGAAGGTATTACATCCAAATTGATTTTCTCCGTCTATCATGATTGTGAGCTAGTAATATTTGATGTTAGCAAGAATATGACTTCATTGTTCTCAATCTCTTGTCTACGATGGTGACTTTTCCATTACACGTCCCTTAATTTTCTTGCCTAATAAAACTTCTAAATTTATTTATACAGGATTATGATCAAGACCCATATGCCTCCTACAAAGTGTTTGCAACGTACGAAGAGGCTTTGATTGAATGGGAGAAGCACACCATCGATCGTGATTCAGCATCCAGCTCAAGGCTTGTTCAGGCACCACTTCAATTTCAACAACAAATATTTCCGGAGCGGCATAATCTAGATGAGGACGAGGAAAAATTTAGGGAAACTGTTATTTCCTCCATCTATGTTTTTGCAGTAGGTTCAATGTTTATAATATTTGTGTTTGTAGTTTGTATCGTTGCAGTATTTGTTGGCTTCTCTATTGCAAAAAAAATATGTGATGTGATTTGTAAGATATTTGATGGATCTTGGATGTTTCTCAACTAGGTTTGTAAGTAATTACAATATTATGTGATGTAATTTATTATGGTATGCTAGTTGTCTGAATGAATAGGCTTGTGCCTGAGTGGATTATTTTTCCGCTAATAATAATCTTTGTACTCTTCATTTCTTGAGCGTGAACGTACAATGCTCTCTTTGAAAATGAGTGTGTGGTGTAATTCATGATATTTAGATTTGTAAATGAGTTTATGGTGATATATGAGTTTGCATTTAAGGTTATACAGGGAATTGACATGGAATGCAACCAAAAAGTGCACAAAAAAAGTGCACAGAATATGCACGGGACTACTAATCCTGTGCATTTCGTAAAAACTTAATGAAATGCACGGGACTAGTAGTCCCCGTGCATTTCGTAAAATCTCCCCTGTTGCAAAACCAACCTGTGCCACAAACAACCAAACAAGTACAAATTTGTGCCATAAACACTGCAGTTTACCCATTAATTTATCAAGAAAAACCCCAACAGAATAATACCCATAACTGGAAGAGAAAATCCAATACACCCACAAGTTGCATCATCCAAAATTACATCCAGGTGTTCTCACAAATAGAGATAAAGGAGAGGAAATAAACAGCAAATGACCCTTCCAAGTTACATCATCCAAAGTTACATACTGGTGTTCTCACAAATTAGAGTCATTTTCATGTTTTAAAACAGAAAAAGTTACAACCATTTCTTGCTCTCTGATATGAGGCAGCCCTTCACATATTTGTCAACATTTGCCCTTCTGATGCCATCAACGTATGCCTGCAGAAAAAGGATATGTAAATAAATGTAACAAGGAAAGAGACATGCAAATGGAGATTGAAATCTGATGACTCTACACACGTGTAAATGAATATGTAAATAAATATAACACTGAAAGGGACATGCAAATGTAACATAATTAGATAAAATTTTAAGGACTAATAAGATATTTTATCTCGAACTAGAACTGCAGAACACTTTTTTTAATTTTATATTTTGAAGACCCAAAATAACTGCAAGTATCATGTCAGCAAATAGGCATTGATATTTCTTGATTAAACTAGGAGCTTATACTGAAAACTTGAGGGATCTACTTGCTATTACATGTATAGAATTAAAAAAAGGATTTACACAAGAAACATGAATTGAAGATAGATGTAAACAAAGAATCAGGTGCAGAAACCTGTACTTGATCAAATCCAACAACCTGTGCTCAAGCTACACCACATGTATCTCACTTAGAGCACATTACTCTGCAATCTTCACATCATCTTCACAAAATATTTTCATGGGGATTACTAGTTTACTGCTGTTTTTGCACTTTAAATTAAAAGATTAGTATGTTCCAAATCAGGACAGGATGTCAAAGATCGCCAATCTTACTGTCCATTGTGGGTTTTACGGGAAAAAAAATCAAAAATAAGGGGGAGCTCAAACATCACCTAGATTGGTTATAATTGGATAACAGACTCACAGAGATTCGCCAATCAACTTCATATGAAATTGGGCAATCAAGGTTTATTAAAATTTAACCTTTTATTTAACTGAATTAGATACTCTCAATCTACTTCATATATCAAAAGACAATGGAAATCTAGAAGTTCCCTCCTGAAAGTTTAAATTTCATTGCGAATTAGTAGACCCTAAAAGCACGTCGGTTATTTTCGCACTTTTGACTTAATAATTAACGCCAAAGTTTTGCTCCTGACTATCAGATAATTATCACCAAATATCATCCATCTCCAAAAAATCATCACCAAAAAAATTCACCCATCTCTAATTTCAGCACAACCCAATCAAAGGGATCGAGGGAGAGATCCAGAGAGATGCTTAAGGTTTTTACCTGCGTCGGCGTCGAGAGAGAGAGGAGGAAGCGTCTTCGACGGGGCGTCGGCGTCGGCGTCGAGAGAGGGAGGATGAGGGTCTTCGAGAGGAGGCGTCGACGTCGGCGTCGGCGTCGAGAGAGGGAGGAGGGTCGGCGGCGGCGTCAAGAGAGGGAGGAGGGAGGGTATTTGACGGGATGTCGGCGTCGGCGTCGTTGTCGGCGTTAAGAGAGGGAGGAGGGGAGTCGTCGGAGTGAAAAGAGCTGAAGGAGAGAAGAGAGGATCTTAGTTGTATATATATATACACACTTTAATTGTGGTTTCTATGTATATATATAGTTATATATATACATATATGTTTTGGTTTCATAGTTTTCAAGTTTTAATATGAAACAATTGAATACAATTAAAAAATATATTTCTTATTTCATACTTATATGCATATATATGATTTTATTAATATCAATTTTATTTAGTTCAATGAAATCATATTTATTGTTTTTGAAAAGTTTGTAAAATATGCAATTTTGTGAAAATATTATATTCTCAGTTTTTAGACTTAACAATAATTATATACATCTTTTATTAAGTCTACAAAATCATTTTTTAATATTTTAAAACATGGTTAAGCTAAAATATCAAAACTCGTGTGTTTACATTTTCATGTTTTGGACTATTTTGTAAAATAATAATATTTTTCATTTGGAAGGTTTTTTTTAAAAACCAGCTTTTGTAGCATATTTATTATCATGTCTATAATCATTTCCTAAAGTTTCATAATTTTTAGAATTTATTTGATATTTTTAAACCCTATTTTAAGTTGACATATACTGTTTAAAACATGTTATGTGCATGTCTTGAGTCGACTCATAAACAGTGTTGAGTCGACTCATAAACTGTTGTGTAGTTTACATTTTGTTTCTGACGAGTCGACTCATAAATATCATGAGTCGACCCATCAGGTTGAGTCGACTCATGCCTGTCATAAGTCGACTCATAAACTATGCTGAAAAGTATGTTTTGTTTCTGCTGAGTCGACCCATGACTTCATGAGTCGACCCATGCATGATGAGTCGACTCATGAATTTTACGAGTCGACCCATAAGTTGGTTTTTAGTCTGTAACGGCTACTTATGAGTCGACTCATGAACAGTACTGAGTCGACTCATAACATTGTAACGGCTATATTTTCAGACTGTACTGTTTTTGGGTTTTTGGTCTTTTTACCTTGTTTTTTCTTGGCTTTAGGGTTCCTATAAATACCCTCACATATCCTTAGTTCCAAATAATCCAAGAAATGTTTTAAACAAGTTTAACAAGGGTTTTAAAGTTTGTTTAGTGTGTTTTAAAAGAGTTTGTTTGTGAAGAAGTTTCTTACAAGTGGATGAGATCATCTATATTGTTTGAAGCTTCATTCTAATCCATCTCTCCATCTTGTTTTTCAGAGAAGAATTTCTAAACTTAATACTAGTTTTGTATTAATTATTTGTTGTTTATCATTTTCATCAAGGTAGGGTTACATTGAGTTTATGATTAATTTTCTCATTGCTTACACACACAACCATTGAGCTTGTTGTATTTACATACATTGTATAATTTGGTTGTGGGGAGTTGTAATAATTGAGAGTGAGCTTAATTAAGTTCTCATCTATTATAAAGAATAAATTTATATTTGTGAGCCTTAATTGTGTAGATCACTTTGTAATATACTTGTACACCGAGAGGAGTGTGTGGTGAGAGACGGGGTCATCCCAAGAGGAGTGCAGTAGGTGGTAATACCTAAAGAGAGGTTGTAATTCCTAACACTTGAGGGAGACACGGACTAGAGACCAATGCTTAAGAGGGTGTAAAGTGGGATTGCAAGAGTGTGAGATTGTAAAGTTTTCGGTTAGCTAGAAAATCGAGTGTGAGGTGTAAACGTTATTCGGGTGAGCGTAGAAAACCCGATTGTGATAGTGGATTTCTCCCCGGGAGTGGGGAGCGGAGATATAGGACGGAAGGTCCAAACTCCGTGATCATATTGTGTGTTTGCATTGTTTATATTGTCCTATCACAATTGTATCTTTAGTTTAGATTGTTTACCCTTGTGTTGTTTATATATCCTTGCATATATTTCACCATATATTATAGGATATATCTTTTTGATCATATTGCATATTCTTGCTCATAACATATTGTATATCTATCTTGCAAGAATAATTTATTAATAAATTTTAATTAGCATAAAATCAGATTAGATTAGCATAAGACCCTAATCACCCCCCCTCTAGGGTCTAACAATTAGTATCAGAGCTTGGTGCTCTTTGATTTAAGGTCTAATCGCCTTGAGTTAAAGATCTAAGTTATCTTTTTGTGCTAATCTAATTTTTGATTTTTGTATCTTGCTTGCATATATACATTATGGATATGCACGGTGCATCTAGTTTAGGTTATACCATCAATATTTCTCCTTGTTTGGATAATTTTTTTTATGTCCAATGGTGTGTTAGATTTAAGCTATTTATTGGATCTAAACATTCTGATTTATGAAAAATTATAGATGATGCTTATATTGTGCTCACTATGGAGAAATTCAAGTGGAATAAAAATGATCATCGAATGTTTACAATGAATAATATTTTGTTAGAATATTTGCTAAATGATTTTGATTCATCTATGTCTAATAAGTTTGTTCATTTTGATAGTGCTTACAATTTATGAAAATTCATAGAAGCGCATCAAGGCAACTTGGATGAAATCTGACATAGTTTGGAGGATTCTTCTTCAAGTGATATTGGAGCTTCTTCATGCACACGACCACTAGGCGTTAGCCCTAGTGTGGTATGCGGTTCCGAACTCGATAATAATTTATCTAGTGATTAACTTGCTTGTGCTAATGAAAAATTATTGCATGCCTATAACAAAATTGCATAAAAATTTTATTGACTTACAAAGTAAGCATGTTAATTTAGAATCCGATCATGAGTTACTAGGTTCCAAATTTGATGTCATTGCAAAAAAAATACCATGCTTAAAGATAACAATGACATGTTAACTTTGGAAAATAAAAAATTGACCTCATCCATTTCTAGCTTAACTCATGAAAGAGATAATGCCATGTTAGAAGTAGAGAACATAAAAAATGATACTGTTTCCTTTATAAATGATTATTTATGTTCCACTTTTAATAAAAATGCATATGTGCCTAATGATGATTTGAATCTTGTGAATAAACGTATTTTATCTTTAGATTCAACTTTGAAAATATACATTGATAACCATAAGAAACTTATGGACAAGTGTGCTAAATTTAGTGCTACAAAATCACCTACATACTATGCACACTTGTATAGCAAAATTTACAAATGTTCCATTTGTGACCGAAAAGGCCATCTAGCTAAATTTTGCTATGATGCACAAAAATCTAAAAATGCTAATGTTTTCGTCGAAAGTCGCTTTCATTGTCGATTCCATTAAAAACTTAAATCGTTTACAGTGAGTTACAATGAAAAATAAACAAATTACAACTTTCTTGGAAAATAACACAGAAATCGTTTATTGACTCCTGTTTTGTGGGACTTTGCCTGTGCCGGAAGTGCTTTGGCTCGTGGACCACCGATTCACAGATCGTGAGGGTCTTTGGTATTCTTCCTTCGTTTAGAAGCAAGAATGAAAATTAGTGAATATCTTATCAAAGTAAGATGAACACTCTTCTCAAGATTAAGTCAAAGCTCAAATCTCAAGGAATCACACAAATAACTCAAGTCTGCCCTTTGTTCTCTGATTTGCTCGAATCTGCTCGATCCTTGTAAATAATGGCCCTAGAGGGGTATTTATAGCCTCCAGGAGAAGTTCAAGTAAAAATACCAAGTTCTGGAGAAAATGTGTCCGTGAGACAGTGTTTGCTGTCTCGGCTTCCGAGACAGTAAAGACTATCTCGGAAAACCCAACTGCCCGGCGGTTTCCATTGTAACTATCTTCCCACGTTTCAAACTTTATTATTTTGGCAGTTATCCACGTGATTCTCACCCACGATGTTTCCCACGTTCTTTGACAATTAATGGACACGTGTCTTGCAGTTATTTCAGTAATTTTTAACCGTTTCAAAGCTGTCTCGCGTGCGAGATAGTAAACACTGTCTCACGTGCAAGACAGTAAACACTGTCTCGCATGGCGAGACAATAAACTCTGTCCGCATGTGAGACAGTCTACACTGTCTTGATCATTCCTAGTCAGCATGAGGCCATTTCTTGTGATTTTTTGATGATCTCTTCTTTGTTGTGATTGGATATTCATCGGCATTTTTATACGCCTACAGCTAATATTTATGCTTCTTGTGCATCTCATAAGGCTTCTTCATCACATACACATGCACATACTCATCATGTTCATCATAAACAGATACCCCCTCCAAAGTATCTCAGACTTATTCTTTTATAGAGGAGTCTGGGACACTTTGGATAAGACATGTCTTACTTGCAATTCTTTCAATACTTGGTTGAGTAGATCGTATCGAAAGACTCGCCAATGGCTTCAACTCTTGACCTCTTTATCTCTTAATCTATCCAGTGCTTCGTAGAATAGTTAAGACTCTTCCGGTATTATGTTTATCGCTTGACCGTTGTCGAGATCTTGAATTGAACCTGGAATCTATACTTGTGAATTCAGCTTTTGTCGCCAAATTGATAACGGATTGCTTATCACAGTATCAGTCTTCAGAAGAACACAGTTGTAGGCTGTCTAAAAATCACAATAGATAGCTGATCCCCATCAAACACCGATGATAAAAGTTACAATCTGACGACTTTCAGAAGGCTACAATTTGAAGACTTTCACGTGGATCGATGAAGGTTACACGACTTTCAGAAGGCTACAATTTGAAGACTTTCACGTGGATCGATGAAGGTTACAATCTGACGACCTTCGCAACAACTGATGAAAGCTCTAATCAACAGCCTTCACAATCAACATCGAGAGTTACAATCTGACGACTCTTGCATATCAAAGAGCTAAAGTAAAGATTACAAAATGACGATCTTTGCAACACTTCGACAGAAAGAGTACCAGCATCAAGATGCGCCACGTTCATAGCCACGAACGCAGCTCAAATGCAGCTCCAAAAGTTGCAAATGCAGCTCCAATCGCTGTCCAACGCAGCTCTATACCGCTGCCCAACGCAGCTCTTTAATCACCGCCAGACGCAGTTCCAAAACACTGCGAAACGCACCTTCAAACATCAAAGAACGTAGCTCCATGTCGCTGCAGAATGGAGCTTCCAAATTGCTGTAAACACAACTTAG